TTTCCGAATACAAAGACGATGGCTTCGCATCAAAACAATAAATTTCACTAGAGAAAGATGCTGACCAATTTAATTCCTCGCAAGCTGTCAAGAATGCCATATATTCAGCTTCGATCATAGCGAATACTACTGTGTTTTGTTCACGAAACTGACGGAATTTTGAAACACATGCACGTCATTGTAGATTTACGGTCATCTGCATCACCTGCACAATCCGCCTCAGCATAGCTTACAACAGAATCAGTTTGGCGATATTCTAACTTATCACCCAGCGAAAAACTCATTTGACAGCAATTTAATGAGCTTCTCCAGGATTTTGATTAAACCTAGAAAGCATACCCACCTGCATACAACATGTCTGGTCGACTTGTTTGTCGTTTGCTGTATTTGTAGCAATTGCATATCTTTTAGTTTACACTCCTTTACGAAATTGTTTCTTAGTTTTATTTGCGAGATATCATCTACATATATTACTATATACATCGTGACATCTTCTTCTGCCTAATAGTAACCCCAGAGTTAATTTTTGACTCTATTAATAAATACTTGATTAAAGTATTGCGTAATTTTTGGTTCCAGCATCCATTTGCTCGTTTCAATGCATAGAGTGACTTTTCTAGTTTGCAGACCTTAACTTCATTACGATCAAAAGCTTTACGAAACCTCTTTCACTTTACAAAAAAGCAGTTTCAACAACCGTCTGATCTATATCAAGGTAATATTTCACAGTTAATGCCAGTAGGAACCTTATTAGAAAATATCGTACTACTGCTGTGTACATTCCTCATAATCGATTCCTTTCTTTCGAGAATATGCTTTTATGACAAGACCTGCTCTATTTCTCTCAACTTTTTCATCTGAGCTCTTCTTGAGTGCGAAGCACTATTTATTCACTTTTGGTTTCTTCCCGTTAGGCAGTTCACATATATCCCAACACAAGACAGGCAGAAACGCTTGAAATAATCCCGCCTTTTATTATACCAAGCCATTATACTAAATTTCTCTGTCCGTTTGATGTCTGCTCATGTTCAACCTACAGGTCCCAATTTTTGAGATATTTTGATAAAATTTGGTGGACTGACGTATTTTGAACCAAGGACGAAAACTATTGAAAATGGTTTGGATAGTTTTTTTTTTTTTTTGGACCACTCGGCGTTCCAAATTGGTGTGAAAGCTTTACACCGGCTCAGGCAATTTTTTGCACCTCCTCTCATATAATTGTTCCTACGGAAATTGAAGCTTCCTACGGTAAAAAGATCGAATTTCCAATATTTCAAAGTGACAATTAGTCCATAAAAGTAAATTGGCAAAGAAATCTACCTTACCAAATTTGGACTACGTAGATATATTTTGTGGATACCACCGCATGAAGTGTAAACCCTTATATGTCAAAAAAGCCCAATTGTTAATTTTCTTGTGATGAATGTTAGCTCATGATAGTAATTAAACAAAAAAATAAAGTGGACCTAATTTGAACTACATGGGTCAAGAAAAATTAACGGTAGGGAATTTATATCACGTAGGTCTATTGTTTTTTTGGCCCCAACATATATAAGCGCTATTGCGAAACGCGAACTCTTTTATATAGAGAGAATGTCTAACCTTCCAATATGCGGGCTTTCGTAACAATTATGACTTTGGGTGAAAATAATTTATACTTTTTAGAGTATTATTACCAAAAGAAGGAAGTGATGTACGTAGTAGTGTGGAATATGTAATGGTCGGCGTTGTCCGACTATAACGTTCTGATGTATTGCATTTTTCGTTTGTTTGAAACAGTTGTGTCTTTAAGTATATGCATTGTTATATTCTTCTCGTTCAACGAGAATAATCTCTTCCGTTTACGCCAAACGCATCCTTAATAGATAGATTGAAATAAAATTTGTTTCTTTGATTTTTTTTTTGACAGAGATTTCCTATCTTCGTTTTACCCAATTTCACAGTTTTTTTCTGCGATTATCTAAACTACTTTCGATTGGTTTTGAGAGTCATTTTCACTTTGATTTTTTTCTCTGCATGCATTTCTTATTCATATGAACTATGACGTCGGAATGCTAACAAGGGGAAATGTTTTCTTGGAAATGCGTACTTTTCGCAAACATATAAACTCAACACGAACATGACAGCAATATGAGAATACCGGGTTTCCGTTTTTCAAAAACCTTTATATGTACAGCACACAAATACATGCGCAGTCTGACAAACATTACAAGAAAGATTACAAAAAGCGCTTCCTATTCGTAGTCATTCGCTTGCAGGCTTGCAAAGCCAGCAGCCGAATTTTGTTCAATTACAAATCAGTGCCTTTCGTGGAAAACATAACCTCAATTGAAAAGACTTACGGACAGTTAAAAAGGAAAAAATGTATAAATTCTCAACTTAATGTATCAACAACATTTTAATAAACTTTACAAATGTACGTTAAGTGAATGCCTACCCTTCGAAACGGGTTAGTCACTAGCATAGCGAATGAAGGCCGTATATAATCAGGATCAGAATATCTTGAGAGGCTCAGTTGCACATCAGTAAGCAAGTAAGTTAAGAAAATTGACCAAACGATGTGGCGACATTATGAAATCCCTCAAATACAATAACAAATAATGCAAATGAATCTTGGCTGGAGTGTCACTAAGTAAAAAATTGACTTACGATAATGACACTCTTTGCTAACCCAATAACTAGCGTTGGTGTACATTGCTGACAAAAAAGTTGGGCGCTTGTCTCAATAACTAATAATAAGCTATCGTCAAGATACGATAAAATCCATATAAGAAGTGCTAATCTTTATTTTCCCTACCAGGAAAATACTTCTCTTGAAAAAAAAATTAATTATCCCTATATTCTGCTAAGGATATCGCCTGAAGAGAGCCAAAGCAATCCAATATTCTAGTTCTCTAGTCATCACGCAAGCTTAAGAGTCTGCAAGACTATCTATGGGCTTGTGACAAACAAAAATCTTTACTAAAGATTATATGTCTGGACCGAATCGGCAACGGCGGTTTCTGTGTCCATTCGCCTGGCTGCCTAGCTGTTTAAATAAAATATTTTAGAATCATAATATATAGCCCGAATGAATTTTTTGTTCAGAGCGGATTTTTACAAGAACAACCAAAAGATAAGACGGTCCAACAATTTTCTTCAAAATCTAGCTCCGAGATTATTACGGACTTTTTGTGTTTTTGTTATCAATAAGAGTAGCAAATTATCAGCTGTTTAACTGCTTGTTCTTTCATTCTCATTATTTGTATGGGCAAAGATTCTGACAATAACTTCTTGGTATGACGTTGTATTAGAAAAAGCTTTTATATATATTCAGAAAGGTGGCTGAAGCCATAACTGGCGGACGGAAGGAAGGTGATAACAAATACTGCGCCATGGTAACACTTGATGTAAAAAATGCATTCCACATGGCAAACTACGAATGCATTAGAAGAGATCTCACCAGGATGAAAGGCTTGACATACACTATAAACCTTATGATGATTTATTTTCCAGATACTAAAATCGTGTATGACATAGAATTGGCATAATAAAGGACCGAATCGAAGTTGCATGGGTATGCCGAATAGTAAAGGTACTAGCGCTATCATAAAGAAGGCGACGTCCACGGGGGTCACTTCGTGCCCAATGTGGGCAGATGCTGTATCCGTGAAGTTAAATTGCAGAAAAATGGTGGCGGTACGCCATCATAGCGTTTTTATAAAGAAATACGATTTCCGCGCCACCTCGGAAGAGGCAGCCGGGGGCGATCGCGGTCTATATACTAGAGGATGAGATAAGAGAGCGAGTGCAGAAGAAAGAGGAGCGCTTGAATTCAGTGAATCGATGGCAAACGCGATTGAAAAGCACGCCGAAAGAAGGATGGTCTCGCTCATCCCAAACGCGTCGCTCAACTGTGAAAAATCTCCAATCTGTCTGCTAAACAAATGCTGTTTTATTAAGTATATCGCTCTTGGCTCGTCTTCCTACAATACCCATAGCAAAGATAGCCCGAACAGTAAGCATGAGGAACACATTAACAAATTGTGACTACAAAGAATATTTAAGTTCATGAATAAAAACAAAAATACGTTAACGGTTTCGATTGAGGATATAGCTTCTGAGACTCCCGCATCTAATTTAGAAGACTTGCTAGAGATTTCATGGCGAATAAGTGAGAATATAAGAACCGGCATATCTTCTCCACTTTCAAATTGAATAGTAATGAAATAAAACGTATGAAAAATAAATTCGTTTTAAGAAGTTTCGCGAAAATTCAAAAATTGACTTTTATTTATATAATACAAAATTGGAGTTGATTTGCAATTCATTTTAAAACAATTTCATCTTTTATATATAAATTCATATGTTAATGTGTTAATATGTTATATATAAATAAAAAAAAGGTGGTATATATTCAAAGTTCACGTTCGCCATTCAAAGTTTCTCTAAGAAATTAAATTATTTCACCTAATTTCATTTTATCAAATATTTTGCATAATTTTCTTTTTATTTACGTTTGCATAATTTTGTTGTTGATTGTATCATTCATTGTAAACAAACATATGTTAAATTTCTTCCTTATTTTCCCATAATTTTTTCGAATGACGGAAGCCTTACATAACTTGCACACAAACGATTCTCAAGGTACTTTTTTTAAATGAAAGCAATTTAACTGAAAGATATATAATTATTGCCCATATGATTCTCCTTAAGCAACGCACGTAAGCTATTCGTCCAACTAATGCGCCACGCAAAACGCATAACGCCACTTCAATATTAAGCGCTATTATATAATTTGCGATGGCAAAACACATTAGTTAACGCAATTAATTATTCAAAAATTTTCAATCACTAAGCGCACATATCTATCTATCTTCACTCAATATATAAAATCAAATATCACTCACTTTTATTTGCTTTTGAAACGCTTAAGCTTGAAACGTTTCATTCCAATTTGGCGGGGTTGCCATTTTACGAAATTACGGATATTCATCCTTTATTATGTGTTAACATTATTTAAAAAGCGCTAAATAGACAACGTTATTTATTTTGCTATGTTATTATTGGTATTTTGTGCGATATAAATAAATGTATCTGCATATAGCGATTTTAGATAAAGGTTGGAGTTAATCGTCGAGAAATATGTTAAAATTGCTTCTCAATAACTATAGTCGCAGGTGAATTTAAAATAAATATTGCAATGTACGGAGTGACCCGTTATGTCATTGCTGTAAAGATGTTAATCAATTGAATTGAATTGAATACATGCCCTCAAAGTTTTCATATGTTTACAGCCAGTGTCTGTTGCATCAACTGCCAAGATTTCAAACTGCTTCAAGTGAATACATAGTGCGCTTAAAAAATTTTAACAAAATTTTTGGGAAATCAAAGCCGAATGTGACAATAAGTTCAACCACAACTGCCAAAAATGCATTAAGATTAAGAACTTTTCTCTGCGGCGCTGGAGCAGTGACAATTGGCTTAAGTAGCCGTAGTCTCTTACAATGCAGCTTTCGGCATGTTAAATGTGAAGGCAACCGCTTGACCGGTATCTTTCAAAACACGCTGCAACCAGATGAAGGAAAATTTGATTGGAAACGTTTCTGGTCGTATCTTCTTCCATATATGTGGGAGTTGTTAGCTGCTGTTGCTGTAAGTTAACTATTTACCTAGGTTCTTTTTTTATTATTAATACGGATTTATTTTAGGCTGCGCTCGTTGTGGCCTACATTAATATACGAATTCCAAGTTTGCTGGGCGATGTTATCAATGTATTGGCACGCTACGCAAATACGTACGTGAAAGATCCTCTTAGCAATTCTTTTTTCAAGGATGTTGGAAAACCTGCTTCAAATTTACTCAGTTTGTATTTAATGCAATCAGGTTTCACTTTTTTATACATATACCTCTTAAGTCGGATCGGTGAACAAATGGCCGCTCATCTACGTCAAGATCTCTTCAAACAGATTATTATTCAAGACATCGAGTTCTTCGACAAAAATCGCACTGGCGAATTAGTGAATCGTCTCACCGCTGACGTACACGATTTCAAGTCATCCGTAAAACAATTTATATCCCAGGGCCTCCGCAGTGCCGCTCAACTACTAGGAGGTAGTATTTCTTTATTCTTAATATCGCCTCACATGGCGGCTATAGCATTAGCAGCAGTTCCAGCTGTAGTCATGTGCATGACATATCTTGGCAGGAAACTTCGTCATTTAAGCAAAAGCTCGCAAGCTCAATCCGAACGTGCCACTTCAGTTTGCGAGGAGGCCTTGTCGAATGTGCGCGCGGTTCGTTCGAATGCTTGTGAATATCGGGAGATGGAGCTTTTTATAAGCGAAACCAACGAAGCTGCTCGACTGGCTCAAGAGCTAGGCTATGGTATTGCAATCTTCCAAGGATTAACGAATTTCTTTTTGAATGGTTTGGTGCTATCAACACTTTTTCTGGGTGGCCATCTTATGTCCACTGAGAGCATGTCGCCTGGTGCATTAATGGCTTTTCTAGTGGCAGCACAAGGTGTGCAAAGGTCGTTAGCTCAGGGTTCAATTTTATTAGGCACAATGATACGCGGAATGACCGCCGGTTCAAGGATTTTTGAGGTAATTTTTTTCTACTAACAGCAAATATGTAACAAATGCAAAAATTTCTTTCTTTATCGCACCTTCAGTACCTCCAAATAGAACCAAAAGTAGAACTTTTACGTGGCTACGAAATTCCTCCTGAACGTCTCTATGGAGAAATTCGCTTTGAAAATATTTACTTTTCCTATCCTACTAGACCAGATCACGTAGGTACATTTTTTGCCAAAAAAAAAAAGTTCTAGTAATAATTGAACTTCGCTTTACGTTTAAGGTTGTTTTAAAAAATTTCAGTCTAACACTAAAACCTGGTGAAACTGTTGCTCTAGTTGGGGCGAGTGGTTCTGGTAAATCGACCATAGCAGCGTTGATGGAACGTTTCTATGAACCTACAGCAGGAAATATCAAAATTGACGGATATAAACTGGCCGATATTTCGCCTCAGTGGTTGAGAAGCAATGCCATAGGTAAACGTTCTTGATAAATGAAAACAAAGAAAATTAATTTGAAAAAAAAAAAACACATTCAACCCAAAAGAATTTGCAAAATTTCTTTGACGCCTCCAACGCAAATATATCTCTAAATTAAAACGGGTCTGTCTGTTGAGCATAATGAAGCAACAAGACTTTCAATCGTATTGTGAATACATAAACACTGGTTATTAGGTGTTTGCAACAACTTTGATCACTTTCTCGCTAGGAAAAGGCATTTATTGGTAAAATATTTATTAATCCAAATAGTTTCCATCATTTTCTACAATATTTACAATATTTTTGTCAAAATGACGATATCATCTCGAAAGAGCTTACATTGGTTTGGCAGCGCTGCACCCACTGACCCACTTTTGCAATTCTTCAACTTGGCGTACCCATGTGCTAGCCAAGCTATCCTGAATCGATCTCAACAAGTGATAATCGGAAGGCACTATGTCTAGTGGGTACGTTGGATGTGGCAGGACTATCCATTCGAGCTACAACAGTGCGTCCTGAACAACTCTCAGAACAAGTGGCCAAAAATTCGTGTCGCCACTTTTTAGCTAAACTCAAAGTAAAGTAAGTAAACCCAAAATCGACATTTGACGTCTGACATGCAGCAGCATCGCCATAAGCGTCTGACCGTTTTTGGTGGCTTCGGTAGCAGATTTCTTCAAGTAAAGAACAAAAGTAATGAATTTGGAAAAAGAAGAGTTGCGAGCGCTCCATAATTAGCGTCGGCGCACGTTGAATAAATTAATAATATTAAATGGAAAGCTATTATTTTATGTAAAGGAAGGTCAAAACTATGGAATTCAACCGTTGTGTACAGTGGTATTTGACATTTCTGTAGCATTTTACCTGTAGACGTCGCTGATTAAAATTTTTGCAAGCACCTAATACAACCATTTGCAGAAGTCGTTTCCGACTGCACGATGACGTGGACAAATATGTCGCCGAATTAATATGGATCTATGGTCTTTTGAGCATAGTAAAGCAACAAGGCTTTCATTCGTATTGCAATAGACTAACAACGATTAACGCCGGTAGACTTTGTTTGGTTCCCTTAGCAAGTACAACTATTTAAAGTGTTTTGCTTGGCCATCAAACTGGAAGGCGAAGAGAACATTTATTCCGTTTTTACAATAAGGCATCAGGGTACAATACACGAGTCTTGTTGTTGTTTTTTTTTTTTTTAATTTCCGTTAACTTTTCCAAATATAATTTGTGTAAGACAATGTATTTTACAATTTTCCAAAATTTTAATCGCAATTTCTTAGGTTTTATCGAGCAGCAACCAGTTCTCTTTGCGACGACAATATTGGAAAACATTCGATACGGACGTCCGGCAGCCGACGAATCGGAGATATATGAAGTCTCCAAGCAATCACAATCCCATGATTTTGTTTCGTCTTTACCCGATGGATACGACACGAATGTCGGCGAACGTGGTACGCAATTAAGCGGCGGTCAACGGCAACGTATTGCAATAGCACGCGCTTTGTTAAAAAATCCGAAAATATTAATACTTGACGAAGCCACCAGTGCTCTAGACGCCACAAGTGAAGCTGAAGTTCAAAAAGCTCTTGATAATGCCGTTTTAAATCGAACTACATTAGTAATTGCGCATCGTTTATCAACGATAAGAAATGCCGATCTGATTGTTGTATTAGATCACGGACGGATAGTGGAGGTAAGTGATTTCAACGTAACCGTTACACCTAATGGTAACCTTTTATCTCTTTCAGTCGGGCAAACACGATGAATTAATGGCCAAACGGGGCCTTTACTACGACCTGGTCCGCCAACAAGAAAAACACGATCACAATGTAACAAACGAAACGAAAACGGCTGATAATAGCCATAACACAAATGCCCAAACCCGATCCCAAGGTTAAGTTCATTAAGAGTGAATGCATATAAAGGGATCATGTATTTATTATTAGTTATGAATTTGATGTTCATAATCTGTTTTTTTACACATCGGTAGTCAGATTTTTATCATTAAGTTAAATGGGAGAGAGAAAGAGAGAGAGAGAAGAAATATGAATTGTATATACAATGTTATGTATAATGGAATATACGATTGAAAATGAAATAAATGAAATAAACATATAAAAAATGTGGCGAAATAATTTTGAATTCGGAAAATATCTCAAAGCTTTTTAGTCTTCATACGTTATTTAGTCCGTATTATTGCAGTATCGTAACTAAACCTTATTCAACCTTTCACAATAGTTTAACTAATTTTAGTTAAGACACTTTGAGCTTTCTAAAGTATGTAAGAGGAAGAACTTTTCCCCAAGCTCTCTGCAAAAGCTATATGTGTCAAAAGTATCCTTTATGCAGGGAAATTACCCTACATGTTATAATGTTATGCTTTCTTTTATCGTACGCGAATAGATGTCTTTAGAAAGTATTTACGTTTAAATATACGTTACTCTACGTCACTGACGACAATTTCGATATTAATTGCAGAATTATAAATTTTCTGCCGTCAAAATGTATTGACTTAATGAGTTATAATTTATAATAGAATTTTCCTATTTTTTTGAAAACTAGGTTTTAGGCATTACGTTACGATTTAAAGCAAAGTATTTGAGTTCGAAAAAAAACTCTCATAATTTTGACAAAAACAAATTTGGATTTTGCTTCAAGGTATCATTTGCAGAGAGATTAATGAAAGCGCCGTGAAAAATTTGAATTTTTCGCTAGGCGGAATTGGCATGGAAGGTTTTATCGTTCGGTATTGAACGTGATTTAAGAGAGAGGGTTGAATATAATTTCGGTTTGATCCACAGCATTTTGCCTGTCTTCATCTTTGCCTCGAAGTAGGGCAAAAACAAAGACTTAAATCTAAAAAATTGACGTTATCACGATAATCGTCCCCCTAATTATCGTCGGAAACATAGTTAATTTGTTAACGCATATATTCTTGGCGGGGTTATAGATTATAGGTCGTCCTGAGTGTCGTCGTGAAAATTGTTTTTTTTTTTTTGGGTTCCTTGGCTCCTCTGTTTCGGTGTTTTGTCGCAAATCTGCTCATATAATTAAACGCCCGTGGCTGCATGGCTTGATCTACCCCTATAAGTTCAGATTTTGTTATTTGTTTTGGGGCTAATGTTCGCGGTGTTTGCACTTGCGGATAATAGTTTCGAAATTGATTATTGCCTATTAAAGTTGAGCGGTATTGTTTGAAGGCGCATCTTAGTTGATGTTCCGAAGGTACACCGGTGTTTGCTGTTGACACTCTTTCGATGACAACAATCAAGATATCGATTTAAAATTTGTTAGAAACATTAGAAGTTGCCGCATGCAGGTGGCTATTGAAAATGGGTCAAATTGGTCAGAGCACACATCCGCAGTTAAGTGTGAACTGGACGCAACTTCGTTTCTCAAAGCAAAAATTTGCGAGTTTTTGCTCATTATCAGAAAGAAATGAAATTTATGGTACTCTGTCAACTACATATCATCATAGTGTTGCTGCTGTGCCGAGTTCGCCCCAAGTTCGCAATAGCTAATCGTTGATACCATATATGCTTTGAACTTTACCGGATAAAGGAAACGCCAGTATATTAGAGAGTGAAAACACCTAGCGGCAAAGTGACTAATATTCAAAAAAAATACTGAATCTTTTCTAGGTCCGAAGGGATCGATATCGATATAGCAACGCCTCGTTTCTGTGCCATAAGAACCTCACCAGCTTTTCGCCGTTGTGAGTCTTCAAAAGTCTAGTGGATTGAAAACAAGGTTCTCCTGCGGATCTCTTTCGATGCACTCAATGGCTTCTCTAAGAGGAGTTTGTCCGTCATCGAGAACAGCGACTTTCAACCTGGTTTCATGACGATTAAAATTTCAAAATATTTGAGTTTTCCGAAGATCGAATCTCACATAGATACCTACACAAGATTTGCCGACAATCCTTTGCGGGTGATATCTTCAATATCAGTCCGCATAAAATGAAAACAAGAGATCAAAGAGTTGAATGCAATCGTGGAGAGACTTACCTGTTCCCATTGCATATTTGGCCAAGTGAGATGCAGTTAAGATGTTTTTCTGTATTAATCAATTTTTCATGTAATATTTATTATATTGTTTATATCACTTAAAGTATTAAAAAAAAAAAAAAAACCTAAGGCAATTAAGTTTTCAAAATTTTTGCATTCTATTGCGTAGCTATTTAATTTATTTTTGATTATTAATATTTATGAAACTTATTTATTTATATATTGGAAAAAAAAAAGAGCTATTAATTTGATTTTTTTATTAACATTACACATATAGTTGTCGTAGGGGACAATATTAAAAATAATAGTTTATTATCTATAGGTAAAATTTAAATTCAAATTCCATTGGAAATGCACAAGATAACAAACTAATAATAAATTGAAATAAAGAATTAAATTAATCGAATATTATTAGGTGAAGGGAAAATATATAAAAGCTAAAATTCACATCAATTTAATAATTTATTTAATTTTTATGACTAAATTACAGGCAGTGGCTTATCCGAATCAAATTTTTCTATTTATCGAACATATTGAAAATCAATGTATTTTTGGATTTGGTTTGTTCGATCGAAATCATTATGAAATTCTATCGCTACTTTTCATGTAATTCGGCCATAGGTGCAGAGCTATCGACAGATGAAATCAACGAATTTATATTCATTCACGTATCGGTAGTGTGCACACAAGTTGAAAGGCATAAGTTTGGTTCGGTTCGGTTCGGTTCGGTTAGATGATAAAAAAAACTTATTTTTATTTATGAAGTACAGAAGCACCAGTTTTTTAATTCTATATTTTCGGCTATAATTTGTTCTCTGTGCGTTTGAAAGGAACCGTTAAAATCTCTTTTCGATATCAAAAGAAAATTTAAAAAAAAATCTCTATTTTTACTTTCAACAATGTAACGGGAAAGTAAATGAAATCTTTTTCATTAGATAAACGAGATGATACGAAAAGCTATTCTAGGTTTTCTCTTCTTTCCATTCTGAAAAATCCTTTTTTATTTATCACAACTCTTGCTCTTTGTATTCTTCTTCCAGTTTTTTTTGTTTTTTCTTTTTTTTGTTTTTAATTAACAGTCGCTTTGGATTAGAGTTTCATTAAGGGCCGTTAATAATTCTTGAGTCTTCTTAATTTTATCGGTTATATCACGCCCATCTGTGATCAATTTGGCTTTCATATTAATAAAATATTCAAAAGCGGCCAACTCTTCGGCATTAAGATTTCTTTCCAACAATTGTGTGACGCTTGCACCGCGACGTTCAATATCCTCTTTAAGCTGTTTCGCTTCCGACAGTTGTTCGAACAAGCGATCCCGTTTAGTCTCTAGACATTGCTACACACACACACACACACATTGCGTGAGGTAACGGAGGAAAATGCATTAATTTAAAGTTTTAGTGAAAAACTGAATGAGAGCATCTTACCTTTTCGTTACTGGCCTCACCGATTGCATATAATTGATTTTCAGTTTTGGCCAAACGTTCGGATAACGAGAGCAATAAGCCAGTTATATGACCCACATCAGTTATGTAGGCACGGCCTTTAGAAGCTTCAGTTGGTCGAACGTTATCCGCTAACTTCTCGATTAAGTTGTTACCCAATTCATCGTTAAAAGTCGCTTCCTCATCTAGAGCAGTTTTTTCCTTCGTCAAAATGTTTATCTTATTGTTTAGTTGATGAATCAATTCATCCTAGACATGTGACAAAACAAAAAAAAAAAGGAAAAAAACATTGAGTAATATTTCTAGATAGTGGACAGCGATTCGGTGTTCGATCTGCTTGTGTGACCGCTTGTGGTACAGAGTATATTAAGTTACTGTGGACGTATGTAACACGCAGAAGGGCTTAAGATAGACCCATCATAATCTGAGTTCATCTAAGCCTGTCTGTCCCTCTGCCCGACTGATGTCGGTTCATGTAAATTTGTGTTCAAGCTATATGTGGGAATTTCTGATATTTTATTTGATAAAATTTGGTACAGTGATGTATTTTGACCCGAAGATGAACGCTATTGCAAATGGTTCGGATCGGTCCAAGTTACGTGGAAAAAAACTACAGTTTTCGAAATTTCTCCGCAAAAGTGACTAATTAGTATTATTTCGGTATTCTAAAGTGGTATGAAAACTTTGGAATGGCTGTGGCAATTTTTGGGACCCATCTCCTATAATGGAAAGTGAAGTGCTTACGATAAAAAGGTATAATTTTCAATGCTTCATGATGACGAATTATATCATAACAGAAATTTAACATAAAAACAAATTAACTATTTACGTTTGGACCATCTCGGCCTTTTTTTGGGATCTTACACTAATAAGAATTTTTACGAAAATTGATTGAAGTCTAAGTTTTATGCTGTGCTAATGAAAATTGACCCATAATAGTAATTTCATATAAAGATAGGAATTGTGGTGTAAGGTATTTAACGTTCGGCCTTGCCAGACTATAATGTTCTTATTTGTTTTATTGAAGCAAATTCTTACCACTTTATTCTTTATTTTATCACAATTTTCTGTAGCAGTGTTCACTTCAATTTCACTTAATTGCAATTCCACTTTTTCTAATCTTTCACTGGCTATTCCTTGCTGTTCCAGTTTTAATTGATTGTTGCGTGTTAGAGTAGAGGTGCCAACGTCACGCTTACTGGGTCGCATTGGTACATTCGAATTATATAATTGGCTAACATAATCCGTAACAGTTTTTCGACCTGGTGGTGCTAACATAAGAATTAAATTATCGTTTGGCGGCAACATTCGAGCCAGCTCCTGTGATCGTTTCTCACAATCCAATTCAATGGAATGTATCTGTCGCGGTTGCAGAGTAGTGTGTAAGGGAGTTTCTGGTGACGTTTCTTTGCTAGTATTATGATTATCCGTCATTCGCTGCATATCTGAGTCGTTGTGGCTATGATTAAAATCATCTTCGGTTTGCGAGGCAACTTCCACAGTAGACGGATTAACACGTAATATCAACTCACTGCGTTGTATTAGCTTTAAACTATCGGTATTTGAATCTAATTGCGATAATATATTCTTTTCTTCTTTAGATTCCTTGCATTCGACAGGATCAGGCTTTGGTGAGAAGATTGCTTTTTTCATTTCCATTTCTGTTCCGTCAGAGGTTATTGCACGAGTTTCTGCTGCTCGTTTTTTGGCATTTATATGATACTCCTTGTTGTTTTCCCCTGCATGTACCTGAGTGCAATCCACTAAAGATTTCTTTTCAGTTTCTTCCGAGGTTTTTTGCCTATCGATAATTTGGTTATTGATTAGAGAACTTTTGATATTATTATTGTAATTGGATGTTACACCGAAACCGCTCATTAGCAAATTATCGCTAATGTGTGCCGACATAAGTTGTGATTGCAATTGAGTGATTTTTTCTATATTTTCCCTTAACGACTCCTGGCGTATAACTGCTTTTTTTGATATATTCGGTGAATTGGGCAGAGTTGTGTTCACCAATTCAGCTCGAAAGATTTTTGACTCGCTCTCATTGCTTGTCTGATTGCTATTAAGGCTGCTCGAACTACTACTATGCTGACTGATTCTCTCGTCGTGCATTAGATGATCATCGGTAAACGAATTTAGTAGCTTGTGATGTTGCGAAGCGATTATAGGTGGTGGAGCAGATCCTTCTCTAGTTACTTCCAGATTCATTAATGCCGTTTTTGAATCGACCGCCAGGGCCGTCATTATATAACGATTTGGGATATGATTATGATTATTATTTGTGCCTGCGATATTCGTCGTGAGATTGTTATTGACACTATCGGCATCTACCAGGGATTGAGATCTATTGTAACTGGCTGATAAGGAAAATGTATTAAGTACAGGTGCCGTGTGACGTTGTTGCGGATATCCTGCAAAGACATTAGGTAACGTGTCCGCAGTTTGCTGCTGAGTGGGCGAAGTGCTTGCTAAATTATTATTGGAACCAGAGCGCAACATGCTGCTATTATTTAACGATGTAGCTGCTGTTGATGTGCCACATAACGTAGGTTGTAGCTTAACACCTAGCGGTAAAACATCAGGCAAGTTATTTGGCAATTTTCCATTTTGTGTCAATATGTCATGAGAAGCGATTTTAGTGGCAACTAAATCTTCATTTGAGTGTAAAGTCATTTTATAACTACCACGGTCGGGATCTGAGCTGGTCTGCTTTTCCAAACTTTGGCGTGGCAGATAGGATGCCTTGGAGTTGCATCTGTAAACAAAAAAGTTGTGAAGAAGAATAATAAGTTAAATACTGAAATAAAGTTCGTCGACACGGTCATCGGCTATTCAACAACCATAAATGTATGCAAATAATGTTTTTCTGTTTCAGTTAAGTATAACTTGTGCGCACATTCGCTTAACCACTTTAAGCAACATTCAAGATAAATTTAATGAGTTAATGCCAAATATAAACAAAGTCAATATTTTTGACGAAAAATCGCAAAAATTGAAGAATTTTTAAAGTTCACTCTAAGCCTGAACTGCTTAACATAAATTTGACAATTTTAATTTAATTTTTTTAAAAAATTTTTCCAATAACGGGCGTTTTGGTCGACTACTAGTTATAGGGGAAACAGTGTATCTTTTTGGCATATTGTTTGTCAGCAAATTTGATATCAGTTTGGTTATGAAGCAAATTTGCTAAGTCAAAAGATCCATAAAAAAAAGCTTGCACGTTCCTTATCAGTCGTGCCAACATTGCTCCAGGTCGTAATATTTTCATTGAAAAGTCGTTTGTTGCGTTCTTTCGAATATATTTCTGTAACTATGTCAACATAAGCAATATTTTGCAGTGTCCTAGATGTCCCGTACAATGTTCTTAATTAAAATTAAAGCAGCAAATTCTTAGCTCCACAGATGTTAGAAATCTTGCTATAATTCCGCTAAATCGAGCGTTACTATAATAATACTACTGATAGTGCGACCAACGCAAGTAGTATTAGGACAAACACTGCTATTGCTACTGTTGCTACCACTACTACTATTTTATATACTATGGGAATATATATAATGGGAATAAATGGGATGGGTAGTATCACAAATGCAAACAGAATTACTAATAGCAATGCTACTGCTACTATTACTATCACCACTACTGTTTAGTATACTAGGATATCACTAATAGTATCACCAGCGCAAGTAGTATTATAAAAAGTACTCCTACTGCTTCTACTACTACTTGGTATACCAAGATAATACTAACTGGTAGTATCACTAACGCAAATAGTATTACTACTAGCGCTGCCATTGCTACTATTACTATTACAAGAAGCACTCCTCTTGCTACTATTACTATTACTACTATCATTCGGTATACTATGATAATAGTAGTATCACTAACGCAAACAGTATTACTACTAGCACTACCATTACTGTTACTATCAGGTATACTATGGTAATACTACTGATAGGATCACCAACGCAATTAGTATTACAACAAGCACTCCTATTGCTACGATTACTATAACTACTACCATTCGGTATATTATGATAACACTACTGGTACTCACTATCACTATCGTAAGTAATATTACTATTACAACTACTATTACTATTATTGATACTATTCGGTATACGAGGGAAGTTCCTGGAAATTGGCCATATTAAATTCAGGGTAGCCATGATTTCAAATATCATTAAGAAGCAATCCATTTATTGATAACAAACTTTACATGATTTTAATCCACTTAGGGTATGTCACACTAGTAACGCTTCTTAGCGAAATGATATGAATGTAGTAATCCCATTTAGGTGATATATTTGCACTATTGTAGATTAAGTTCACCATAATCGAATGTTGTTTGAGAATTATATTCTATCGTAGCAGATTTAGTTTTGTTTCTGTAGGTCGTACTGAAGAGAAAACAATTGCTGGTTATTATATTAGTTTTGAGTTCTCCTTTGAGTCATAGTTCTAGAAGTGAAGTTGAGCACTTTGAATGTGTTTTGGTCCAAGGAAACAAGCTTGCTATTCAGGATTAATTTAAATTTGTTTTTATTTGATAGAAAGGTCGGCATTAATACCACAAATATATTGCTCCAATAAATGAATTTAAGCCGCGTACTTATTGTTATTATAACTGAAGTAAGTGGTACTTGGTTCAGATCAGTTTTACAGATCACAATATATATATATATATATATATATAAATTGATTTTTCAAAATAGTATAGATCACTTTTGTAATATTATCCTTTGGTAAGCCTGTTTAAAGGAAATTCTCGTTGATTTACTATGAAAGCTTTTCGATGGATATTTAAGAACCACGTCTAAAGTGAAAAGCGAAGTATTTTGCAATTATATGAACTTTCTAAATGCTTTTATTTTTATTATCGATTACTACGAAAGATGTTACTGTAAAAAAGCACCGCAAGCCGCCAACGCTTTTTTATCTTATTTTTTATTTTTTTAATCTGCAATTTTTATCACGCACCTGTTACACTTGTACGAATAGCAGGAGAAGCCTGTAAATGCCATTGCAACACAAACACTGAACATATAAGCGTACAATGTTTACAATCGATTAACTAAGTCAATTAGTTTGGTATTATTGCGCATTTGCGAGTATGGAGTAGAAAACGAAAGTACACTGAAGACGATCTAGTGCAAAAATTTCGCTCTTCTCCGTTATAATGTTGTGCAGTTTTACTGCCTGTTATGATGTCTGTTGAATGATAGATAGAAACCAACGAAACATAACACTTTATGCATTTCTGATAACATACGCACAATCGCTTGTACGCACGTACGTGATAGTCGTCGCTAGAGGAGAGTTTACTAATTTCGTTATTTCGCTCGCAAAATAAATGCAGCTTCGAGATATCGCAAGATATGACATCGCTTTGCATCCTGATAATTGTTGTATGTGTACTTCTATCATATATCGGGCCTGCATCTTTAATTTAGACTTTCAAAAATGCGCTTAGTCACCAAATTCTGCCCGAATTCTGAAGTCGCTTTCACTATGGTACGAAAATGATCCTCATCGACCTCTCAACAATTTGTTAAAAGTAGTGGGTATTTAAGATTCACATTAAAGTGAACATAATTTTTTCACATTTTTCTTTTTTTATTTATTAAATGATTTTGATTGTTTTCGTTCGCATGCAACATAATTCCTATAATAGATAGCAACTCTGTTATTGCTCTACTAACATATAAAATTCATTGATATTCTGAACACGCATGTTGCTCAGTGCAGCCTATGTATTTTTTTTTTTTTTTTTTTTTTTTTTTTTTTTTTTTTTTTTTTTTTTGCTTGTAAAAGTCGAATAGCATAAAAAACAAGATATGGTTAAAAATTTATACTTCACTTTCAAAAGGGAAAAAGTGTCCAAACACACTAAGATATTTGATGGAACCAAAATAAAAATTTTTTCGCTTAACGTATAAAAATAGTTTTTAAATATTTTTCAACGCATTTTTATATCCACCCAACGAAACATGCAAACGTATTAGTTTTATCACTCCGTTTGAAGCACTAGAGAATGCAAATATCAGCGTAGCACTTGATGCTTCCAAGAGAGAAAGTGTGAAGTTTGGTTTTGTAAGCGATGGAAGCGATCTGACCATCGATCTGATCTTAAAGCGTAGGAAACAAATTTAAAAAAATGAAAATTATAAAATATTAATAACTTATAGATTTCAGACTGATGACGATCTGATAAATTGCGTTCCAAATTGGACAATTGCCACACCCTTAATTAATAGAAAAAACTCTTCAAATCTTCCATATTTATTTAAGGTGACGTATACTGAAGAAATCATCTCAAGACGAATATCATTTTTTTGATTTATTGAAAATTCGGAACACAAGAGATTTTTAAGGAGGGATATACGTGTAAATATTCACATCGAATTATTACATGTTGTAGAAGGACAAGACATAAACATGATGGGACGGTTTTTTTTTTGTATATTGTTTCCTGTAGATCTTCCTTAAGTGCTAGTCAATGTTCTTCCAGCTTTAATGATCGCCGCAAATCTTTAGTCTAAGTGTAGGGTAGACGATACTTTCGATCATCTGCACCGTGCATCATGTAGCTATGTAAAGATGTGATGCACTAGATAACCCGGCGCCAAATGTTGACACAAATACTAAAGTGTAATGCCTTCCGCTCATAACACATAGAGATTAACTTAAGACAAAATATTTGCTCTAATTTTTATAGATATATTTTTTTTTTTTTTTTTTTAGTTTTTCTACAGAACCACAAATGCGTTGTTTGCTCATGGTGCGCGTACTTTAAAGAAATATCATAAAATTTGTTGTTCTTTCATTCACTTTGTGGTAAGAATAATAATGATGATCATTAATTTATGCCTAAACAATGCAATAGTCGACAAGTTGTACGACAAGAGCAAAGTACACGACAAGTAATGATAGATAACATAATGTAAGAGCAAATGATTTCGGAAACAAGGGTGAATTCTTTTGCTTATATTCAACGAAATTCTTTATTTTCAAAAATAGTGGAAAGAATAATAAGTTGAGTTAAACGCATTAAAAACCTTGTAGCGTCTTTTACACAATACTTGATTGCGGGTAACATTTATTTATTGCAAGAACAGCTCTTGGTCATAATGTAGTTATGTTACACTTTACTATTTATATTGCCTGCGTGGGAAAATGGGCAGCTAAGCTAAATTTGATTGTTACAAATATCATTATAGTAGGTAGGTAGTATTTGACGCAAGTGCTTTCGTAAATAATTCCTTGGATGGTTGGGCATTCTTTGATCCATATATGGGAATTGTTTGTGGCACTTTACTGTCGAAGATTCTGTCTCAATTAATAGAGCAAATTTTAGGGAAAAACAAGTAAGAACACCAGTCGGGCGAGGCCGACAATTAAATACCCTACACCGCATTGTTTAACACAATTCTTATTTTTGTATGATATTACTATTATGGGCCAATTTTCAACAGCACATATTAAACCTTAGACAAAGAATCAATTTTGGTGAAAATCCTTATTAGGGTAGGATCCAAAAAACAGACCGAGTTGGCCCAAATTTTGTGCAGCTAATTTGTTTTTTATGTTAAATTACTATTATGATTTATACCTTTTTGTCATATGAACTTCAGTTTTTATTATATGAGAAGGGGTTCAAAATTTGCCAAGCCGGCCCAAAGTTTGCATACCAATTTAGAATGCCGATGTACTAGTAGTCACTTTTGTCGCGAAGTTATGAAAATTGCAATTTTTTT